TGTTGCCTGGCAGCTTACAGAAAACATGTCTAAATATTTGTTTCTGGGGACCTTTAAAGGAGTGAGCTAACAAGCAGCTCTCTGTATGTTTTCTTTTACATTTTAATGTCACTATGATGTGAGAAATGTTGAAGTCTTTTCAAGTATTAAATCAAGGAATTACTACTTCAGCGATCCCTTTTTTTTCATTCTTGGGCACTTGATGGTTGACAACTATCAGCACCAAAGCCAACTGTCGATAATCAGTTGTTCCTATATGTAGGATTATTTATTCATTCATTCAAAAGGTTATTTGGTTAATCCTGTATTAATTACGAAAAGTTGTCATCTGTATTTTGAGAGTCTAAGAAATAATTGCTGTAATTATTCCTTTGTATTTTTACAATATTTATAGTGTTGTAAAGGAACTAGTGAATCAGATGAGTTATTCTGTATTTTAAATCTGATACACTGTGCTGTACTTTTCTGAAGGTTTTTATATTTACTTTCATGCTTCTTTCATGTGTTTGCATGTATATGTTGTAGCTATGTCTGTCTATATATATGCATGTAATTTTGCATGAAAGTGTTAAAACTTTATTTTTCCCTGCCTTTTTTTCTTCATGCCAAAGAACATTTGACATATGTGTTAATTAAATTCGACTGCAGTCTTTTAAGTGTCCTGAAGTTAGAAATACAGCATATTGTTAAAAACCACAGCAGTGTGGAGTCAGAAACTGGTTATATGAAGAATAGGCATGGGGAGATATGAGCATGCAGCAAGGCATCATTACCTGGAGGTAGAAAACAGGCTTAAGTGCTGTTTTGTGACCGATGTCTGTTCAGTGTGATGGGATTTGACTGTGTGCTGAAAGTCATGTTTTTACCTGTTGTACTGATGGGTCTAAGCTTCATGTGCTCAGTATTAATCATATACTCAGGTTGAAGTTTGGCTTTGTATGTTAGGAGCTTTTACAAAATCCTTGTGCTTGACCAAGCTATATCGTGTGTTTATGTAGCTACTGCAGTCCTTTAAAAAAAGATAGCTGTGACTACAGCTACATTTTTCAAAGGTGATGATGAGGTGTTAATAGTAGATGAAATTATTTTATAGGATACTAAATTTTGCCAGCATGTAAATAAATCTTCCTTTAATACCTTGCAGCCGAGTTGGCCGTCTTTGCTGCCCTCTAGTGTTCTTTTAACATGCCAAACCACAGGCAGGGAGATTTTAAAGGTAGCTGCTGCCGTATTTGCTTCTCTCGTTTAGTTTTTTATCAGTCTTCATCCCTACTGATGTTTAAAAGGCAGCAGAAAAATCCTTTAATCTTTATCACCTCGGCTCATTCACTTCTGTACTGTTGTAGACTCAGATATGGTCTGCAAGGCCAACTTCTCTGAATAAACTCCTTATGTGATGTGATCTTTTATTTTACAAGTATATCATGAAGCCTTGTGCTTCAAGGCTTTTTGAATTTTCTATCCTGATAATCAAACCTCCATGACTGCTCTAGTTTTTATGCTCTAAGTGTTGATTTTGTTAATAACATCATTTTGGTAAATAAGGAGATCCGGAGAGTTAGTCTTATAGGATCACAGGTTATTGCTGTACTTTACTTGTACTTTACATTATGTTATTCAGAGTTTCTGTAGTCTATTGTTATTTCTGTAGCATTTCAAGAGATTTTAGAGTTCTCAATTGTGCCTCACCTTCTGTTGCTGTACAGTGGTGTAACTGAAACCCCTTCCAAATATAAGTTTGGTCGCTTATTACTTGTACCCAGGAGAGCAGCAGACAGTTTAACTCCAGAGTTAGTTGTTTTTATTCTTTGATTCTTGTATCTGTTTTCATAAACAGTATGAGAACATGACACTTCAGCTTTAATACTTCTCTTTTTTTTTCCTGGTTAAAATTGAGATGGTGTTTGTTTTTATTTAATCAGTGTGTTTACCTTTTTTAACAACAGATCACAAGTTCTACACCAATATTTATGTACTGTAAAGCACGAATCAGAATTTGTATGAAGGAATCACTTTCATCTCTCAAGTAAACGTGCATGTCCATAACTTGGATCCACTGCATATTTTTATTAAGTTACCTTTTCAGAACCAGTGTAGTTTACTGCCACATTAGCTAAATCTCATATTTGTGAGAAGTACTGGAATGACAGTTCTGGAAGCAATCTGTGTTAGCTCCAAAATTAAATATTCTGGGGCATGCACAGGCCACGAGATGTTTCATATTGTTCTGTCTCACTACATCATTCCTGATATAAGGAAAACACCATTCATCAAAATTGTTGTGCACTTCCCTTTTTGCAACAACTGTTCTTCTAGTACTAAGGTGGGCTTTTGTGATTCTTAGTCTCCTAGGGGCTACAAGATAGCTCTTCTCTTTGCTGAGAGACATTCTAAGACAAAGGCTTTTGGCACTCTTAGACTGGAAAATGAAATGCTGTTCTTTGGGCCAAGTCCAGGTAGTTGATTTGACTGAACAAATAAAAGGTATTTTTTCAATTAAGCAGAAGTTATGAAAATGGTAATTTAGGACTCCATTTCATACTTGTTCATATTTTTAGCCATCACTTTTCCCCATTAATTCTACAATAAAAGTTTAGAGCTCCAGGAAAGTGTTCAATTTCTTGTTTCAGTTTAGGTAAGTTTAGGGCCATATGCACTGCAAGTGCATATTAATATGGATAATAATATTAGTCAGCCTAGTCTGTAAATCAAATGTAACTGTGCCTTAAACTCCGAGATTTGCCTGCTTGTATGCTTGAGATGCCACATTTGTAGTGATTAATAGACGAAACACCAGCATGTTGTGAGTCAGTTTTATGTTCTATTTCAATATGGAAAGAAACACTTGTAGGTTAACTGTTCTGGCACTTTTAAAATGCGATGCAAAACTATTTTTTCTTTCTGAGTACACTATTTAGAAGGGGAAGAATGCAATTCTTAGGAAATACTGGGGTTAACAGTAACATTGGGTAGTAGAAAGTGAAGAAGATTGAAGTTGCCACCAGGAGGAGCAGTACCAAAATATTCTCAATTTTCACTGTCACAGTTGCCTAGTGCTGTAGCTGTAAGCTGTCTGTGTCTTTGGGAGTATCACAGTTTTTTTAAGGGTAGGGTACTAAATAGAATGCAACTAAAAAAAAAAACAACCTCGAAAGAATGCAAATGAAGAACTCAAGTATTTTTGCAAATTATAATCTGGAAAATAATTATTCTTGTGACATTTGGAATTTTAATTTAAATCTGTTTAGGTCTGTATCCTGGCTTCATTATGGTATGCTGTTAGCTGGACTATCAAATTAAATCTGGTTTTGTATCTCTTAGTTGAGATGTAAAAGAAGAATTTTCAGGAGCTGGTATTACTGCTCTCAATTTTCTGTATCAACCTAGACCAGCCCTTAGTGAAACAGGCACTCAGGCCATGCAGCTCGTGCATGTGTGTCTGTGTGAGAGGCAAATTGTCTGCCATGCCAGGGAATGAGTTCAGTGAGAAACACAAAGTGCCAGACCTTGCAGGCGTTTGAGTCTGGGCTTTACTTTTTCTGACATTCTGCCTCTGTTCTCCCCAGCCCCTGCACTTACAAGTTGCTTTGTACTTTAACATTTCAAATCTATAAAGCAATGGAAAGATTTAGCAAAAAGGGGAAATTTGTTAGTGGGTAAAGACTTGTTTTAATGTTACATATTACCCCAAATGTATTTAAAAGTCTTGTAGATGTGGCATTTAGGGGCATGATTTGGTGGTGGACTTGGCAGTGCCAGATTAACAGATTGATGATTTTAGGGGTCTTTTCCAAACTAAAGAATTCTGTGATTCTATGTAGCGACAACATGTTATTTGTAAGCGGTAAATTAAAAAAAAAAAATAAAGGGTTATGTGATAGTCTTCCAAACTGTGTAGCTAAAATATTCTCCTAGTCAAGGATAAAATTAATTTATCAAGGAACTCTAACGAAATTTTGAAACAATAGAGGAGATGGATGCATATATGGTTATAAAACTTGTGAAAGTAGCACTTTTATTTAAAATACAACAATTTGACATAGAGTAACTTCACAGTGATGGGTATTATTGCTTACATTTAATCAACAAATGAGAATAATTTTTTTTACCTTGATTAATAGTTTTTATTAAAATAGAAAATATGTACAGTCATAGTCCATCACATTACCCCTGAAACACAGTGATGTTTTGTGCATAATCTAAATCAGATTTTGGAAACCAGGGGGATTTCCCATTAGTGTTTTCAAATATTGATATTTGATAAGAATTTCGTTTTTCATTAACTGGATGGCCATTGGTGTGCTGCTTCAATTCCTGGCCCATTACTGTTACCAATTCAAAATGTTACAGTCTATCTCCTTGATACTATCTCCCCCACACTTAATAAGTATGTGCTCAAGGGCTATTTTTATGTGTAGTATTAGCAAGTTATTTACTCACATTTGTAACAAAGGTTTTAAAATGGAAGTAAACACTTAAAGTAAGTCAAGTTGATTTTTGTTTCTGAAGGGGACTTGAAAAATTCTGTTGGAGATTGTTTGATAGCTAAATTGAACATGAACCTATCATCTGGGTCCTGTATGTAATGTCAGATGCTGGGCACGATCCTAAGTTAAGGGTGGTCAGCACCCTTTGTGACAGTCCCTTGCAAAACAGCAAAATCTCTTTCTGTAAATTTTGTTAAGTGATTTTTGGAACCCAGAGAGATAAAGTGGGTCATGAAAATCACAAAGTAACTCAAACCTGAATGCTAATGCAAAGTGAGTGTGTGGGCCATGTTATACTTGCCCTGCTATGCATCTGTGAGAGAGAGAGAAGAGTTTTTATTCTTCTTTATATGGAAGATCTTTTATTTTGTGATTTCTTTTAAAGTTTTAAACCTGGGAGTCCAGCAGTACAACTAGGTCACATAAAGATAAAATACTAATCAATAAGTGATTGCATCTTACCTTTGTTTTGTTTTAATGATCTGCTGTGTTCTGGCAAATGTTTCCCCACAGGATGAAGATGAGTTGGACTCTCACACCATGGTGAAGACCAACTCAGAGAGCGCTGGTACCATGAGAGCCACCAGTACAATGAGCGAAGGCGCTCAGACAATGATTGAGCACAACAGCACCATGTTAGAATCAGACTTGGGGACCATGGTAATCAACAGTGATGATGATGAAGAGGAAGATGGGACCATGAAACGTATGTTGTTAATTTGCTTTCTTCTAATAGTGTGTTTTCTCATGCTGCATGACAGTGTTGTATCATGGAAGGCTTTTAAGTGTCAAGTTCTGTGATTTAAACAGGGAGAGAGGGTTTTTGTGCCTCTAAGCACTCTATAATTTGCAGAGAAAGAGTTTACTGTAGTGGTAGATTCAAAGCAGAAGCCTGGTTTTGGTGCTTTGCTAAGTTTCTCTAGAGGACTCTCAAATTGTTCTTCTGTAAATTGTACTGCTTGTCTCTTTCTCTGCTGTCCCACATACATTTGGACCAGTTTCTTGGAGCTAAACTGGTGTGATTATGTGAGAGGCTGCTGTTTCAATGTCAGTGGTCCTGGGAATGTATCATGAATCTCTTTGGGGTCAGCAATCAGTAATATATTTTGCTGCAAAATCATTTTGTAACTCATGATCACTTAGCAGATCTGTATTTTTTCAAGCAAATAATTATTTGGACATTTTTTGGAATGTAATTCAACAATGGTTGATTTAAGGCAATGATCAAAAGATTGTTGAAACCTAACTAAAAAGTTCTAATTGATTTTGGCAGCATGTGAAGGAGTAGGTAACAAGGAGAAAAAAGAATTGTGAAGTTTTTTTTGTATAAAAATATAAGTTATACTGAAATCTCTATAAATACACGTTTTAAAAATAGTTAATTTACTTACTTTCTAGCTGATATGCTCATTGTTTGGCTGAAGACTACTGCAGATTGAGGTCCATGAATTTTAATGGAATTATTTGCATGATTAGGCAGCATCAATAGATGACTCTAACTCAGGCTGTAGCTGCCTGATTTAATGTAATGTTTAACTCCAGGCAGTTGCAGGGAGAGGGGGCTATGGGGAGTTGTCTGTGTGTGTAATATAGAGAGTTAATATCTCAAGAGTGGAATTCAGTGCCAGAGAAATAAGTTTGTAGTGTTTCATAGCAAATACAAAGCTGCATTTGTGTTTGCATGCAGATACCTGATGTAATTTGCTCAAGATTATTTGGAAGTGCAAAGCAGAAACTTTTTGTGTGTGTACAGGAAGTTGGAAGGAAAAAGGGGGTTTGTAGATGTTGCTTGTTTGGCTTTTTTGTGGTTTGTTTTGAGTTTTATTTTGTTTTTCCTTTAGAGTTCTCAGCTGTGTGATAAAAAAAAATAGGGGGAAAGATAGCATGAAAAAAATTGGAATTAATTTTTAGGGTGGAAGTATTATGAATTAGGGTTTAGTGCAGTTTCTATGCAGCTTGACAAATCAGTCTTCATTAGGAAGTTCTGTGTAAGTAGTTTACCAAATTGCACCGTACTATCCATGCAGTTTTTATAGGTGCTGAGGGGAAAAGCCTGTTGTCAGGGCAAACAGATCAGAGGAGTGGCATTGGGTTTGCATTGCAATCTCTTAATCTGTGTTTTATTTGTATGCTGGGGACATTGCTTTTTAAATGTTCTGTTATTTTCAGTTTTTAATTGATTCCAGTAACAATCTGTAGTTAGGGAGTTGCCTTTCTACATCTTCACATTTGGTCAGTATATGTCTTAATCCCATTCTGCTTTCTTCTCAAACAAGAATAATCTTGGGATTATTCCCCTTCCCCTCCCTCCTGTCCCGCAGATGACTGTCGTGAACCCTGTAACTGCAGCAAAGCAAAGCCAGCAAACTGGAGGTAGTTTGCCTCATGAAAAGTGATTGTTTAATCATTCAGCTGTCAGGCCACAGGTTTGGTTTCAGCACTTACTTGCTAAAATTCCTTGTATTTTGCATTAGGCACCCATTATTTGTATTTTTTACATTAAAAACTAGAAATAATTCAAGAATGGGACCTCTGCATCTCTCAGCTAAAAATGAATATAAATCATGTCCACTGTAGCTGTCCTCTGTTTCTGTGATTGTTGTGCTATTGGCTGAAATAGGAGCAATAGCAAGTTTCCTAAATAAATGTTGCCAGGAAGGGACATAAAAATCCTTGTTGTCTCTGAAAGGCAGCCACAGATTTTGTGCTTCTTTGTGCTCAACAAGGACATGAGATTTTGGAGATTGGTTGCTTTTTCCAATATACCTTTAGAGGCAAAGTAGGCACTTTCTGGGTGTTTGTGTGATTTGGTTATAATAAATCAAAATTAATATCTTAAAAGTGCTCTTTCACTGATACTGCTGAATAACAGAACCTTGCAAGCAAGAAGGTTGGAGAAATAAACTTCGTAAACTAGGGAAGAGAGATTTCATTTCCTTCCTAGAGACACAAAATATTTATGACAAACTTCTTATTTAATTGCTGTTGTGTTTAGTTTCATGTTTTGTTTCCTTCTGCCTTTTGTTTCCCTGCTCAAGGACAAAATAAGAAACAATAATATGTTTTTATTTATAAGTACCCATGCTTAGAGGCCTCTGGGAGCCATGACAGAAAATAACTAAAACCATATTTTTTTCACAAATAGGGAATTGTGCCCAGATAAAATTGGGATTTGGAACAAAAAGAGGCCAGTCCTCCTGCCCCAACATACATTATACAGTCTAGTAATAAACAACATTTATCCTGTCTTGCTTGGTATGTCTCTGCATGCTCTGAACAGAGACTCCGTGGTATGTACCTGGAAGGAGGAAAGAAAATGAAGAACAAAGGAGAGTTGGGAGGAACTTAACTTTAGGAGGTTTAATGTGGAGCAGAGGAGAGAGTGAGAATGATAGAAATATTACTTCTTTTGTTTGGTTGTCTGGGTTTTACTTATTTTTGTGTAGAAGCTTTTACATATATCAGTGGAGAGACTAGTGTTCAGCTTCCTCACATTCCCCTTGTGGTTTTTCAGCACGGCTTAGTGTTAGGGCTTTCTGGTGCACCAGCAGTACTTGTGGTCATTCTCTTTTCTCCTTTTCACTAACATGCCCCCTGCTTTTCCTTTTTGCATTGTTGAGTTCATATTGGCTATCTGCATTGGGCTGGAAAAGAGGTTGTCTTTAGTGCAGTTTGGATTTGTTCTGGATTTCTGGCTGCTGTTTCAGTCTTTGGGGAAGCTTCTAGATAGTTTGTGGTTGGTAATGGATGTATTAAAGGACAAGGACAGAGAAGGCATGAGGTGGCATTTGACAGCTAGAACGTAGAAAAGTAGTGAGGTTTTGTTTTATTTTGCCCTATAAGACATGAACATTTTAGGTTTAGTCAGTATAATTCTTACACATATTCTTCCTTCTAATCAAACATAAGAATATAAGAATATAATCTTTGGGACAGCAGGTTTCCTTCCCTGTTCTCCCCCTTCCCCCCCACAACAGATGACTGTTTTGAGCAGCATAACTCCAGCAAAGTTGGCAAACTGGAGATAGCTTGAGGCAAGTGATGGTTTAATCATTCAGCTGTCAGGCAACAGGTTTGGTTCCAGCACTTACTTTCCTTATTATGCAAAATGGTATTTTTTTATTACAGCGGGACATGCACCATGCTGTAGAACCTACACGTTGGTAGAGGAATTAATGAGTTGGTTTGTTCATTATTTTTCAGTGATTTCAGCATCCAGGGTAAGGGATTGTTTGATACTGTAAGTTAGTCTCCTCTGTGATACGAGGTGTATGCTTGGCTAGCTCTGCAATGGTGCTTCAAAACTCTTAGAAAGGCCTAAATCCTTCAGCTGGTGTTTCAGCCGACAAGCAAAAGCTGGTGAAACATGTTTGACAACTTATGTCCTAATTTTGGTAGGAGTTTTGTAAGGAACCTCAGTTGTGGGCTGGTTTCAGTGTTGCTGTAGCCTAGATATTTGCACTTCATGGATGTATTTTCATTCAGGCATGTTTACTGTGTCCCCATTAAGATGGTTTGCTTGGTGCCATATATAGGTGTATATGTATAGAGGTGATAGATGTTTACAGGTCTGTATTGGTTCTCAAGTCATTTTCTGTGACTGGTAATAAAGTTGTTCATTTATGTCACTAACAGTAGTATGTTTTAAAAATGGGGATTTTTCTTTTTAAATAATTGTTGTATTGTGTTTTGTTATGTTATATGCTGATTTGGTTTGTTCCTTGTACCCCTTTAAGTTGTAATGGTTCTGCCCAGGTTCTCTCTCTCCTTGATCGCCCTGTCTGTCATTTCTCCCCTCCCGATTACCCCTAGCAACCTTTGTATCCATTCCCTCAGTCCCTCCCTGGTTCCCTGTCTGTCACTCGGTGCCCCAGCCCTTCTGTCTAGAATCTTCCATCCTGGGCATCGAGTGATTGGATCAGGGGCCAGGACTCCTCCCCTGCTCTTCCCCCATTGGTTTTCCCTACATGCCCGTTATCCTCCCACCACTCCCACCTTCACTGTGATCTGCTGGAGACCACCTTTCCTCTCTGTATCCGCCCTGCTTTAAAAACCCCGGTCGGAGCCCAGTTGGCTTGTCTCCAGCTGGTGGCTCCCCTGGGCATTAAACCCGGGTTGCACTACCTCTGGAGTCCATCTCTTCTTTCTCCTCCTGTGGGTTAGCAGCCCTACCTCTCTCTCAGCCGCGGATCCTCGTCCCTCAAGGCGAAAGCCTTAGGCGCTCCCCTGACCGAGCCCCGGATCGGGAGAGTGCCCCCGTGCTGCCGGCGGTGCTGGCCGCAGCTAGCCGGGACACACCTAAAGGTCAGCCGCCGCTGCAAATAATGTTGTTGTCAGTTCTGCTTTTGAGAGCCGTTGCAGAATGCTAGTTTAATGTGAATTTTCTTTGTTTTGCTAAAACCAAAAATAAAGTGTAATTCTGCTGGAATGGACTAATGTGAAGTGTTTGAACAATGCTCTCAGGCACATGGTGATTCTTGGGGTGTCTTTTACAGGGCCAGGAGTTGTACTGCATGATCCTGATGAATCCTGTCCAGCTCAGAATATTCCATTATTATAATAGTAGTATCATTGAACATTTTTTTTATTTTTTCCAGGGAGTGGGGGGAAAAAACCCCAAAAATTATTGAACCAGTTTTACAAGTCTTATTGTCAAGAAACAAAGGAATGTTTTGTGCTAGAAATTTTCCTCATTAAAAATTGTAA